GACCAGAAAGCAGGGGCAACACTGGCTTGTTTTCCCAACCCTTCCTTGCCCAACCACCCGGTGTCTTCCGGCTGCATTGGACTACAATTCCCAGCATCCTCCATTCAAATACATCTGGTGCAAAAGCTTCTGATCATGGAGCGGAAACACCGGAAGGGCTCATTCATGTAGCTGGGAGTCCTAGTTTAGCGTTATATCAGAGTGCAGTCACACAGTTGGTGACTTGGATCTGTCTTTCTTAACAAGGCTCACTCGGACACCACACACGTGGAACAAAACTGTCCTTCACATAATGGTCACCGGACAGAGAGCACTCTGCAGCTCAGAAACGCCGAAAGCACACTGCTCTCTTGATGCGAAATCAAGTACGTCACGTATCGATGGAGAGCAACTCGTGTGGGTTTGCACCTGCTGGTACCGACCTTGTGAAAAATACTCCTTCACAAAACATTTCTCCACACATGAGTTTCTCTGTCTCCAGGCTACCTTATAAACATTTCTGCAAGCTGCAGAGAAACACGCACAGAACTTGGCTCCTTCCGATTAAATCTTCCAGATCTTTACAGACTCAAATTATGTTTTAGTGGCCCGGTTTTTGTGCATTTCTCAGCTTGCAAAACCATAAACTAGCAGCCAGGAATGAGTGTCAGGACTATATGGTCCACCATCACCCACCAGGTTCCTAGCATACCGATCCTGGTTAAAGTTCAGTCCCTATTCAGCCCCAAACTAGAACCTGAGGTGAATTCCCTGTTTTGAGCATAAAAGAAAACAATTGTTTAACTTAAATAGATTTGGCATATGGAAGAGGGGAGAAGAGAGGTGAATGCAATCCCTGATGCTCACGCTCAAATATCATTCAGCGAGCTGGAAAATGGACACCCAAAACGAATATTTCTGGCAAACGGACTGACACCCTCTCCTAGCCAGTTCTTTCTGAAGGTGAAACAGAAAGTCAAAATGCTGGAGATCTGAACGTTCAGGCCCGGGGAATGCAAATATTTGCAGTCCAACACACTGAAGCCATGTTCTTCAGATAAACAATGGCTTGCACGGGGCACTGTCCCTTGGAAATGATTTCCTGGTATTACGCTCAGCCACAACAGAAGTGGTATCGATTCAGGATCTGACGCAAACAAATCTCCCCTTAAAAATTCACTTGTTAAAGAAGTTATCAAGTTTCATTTCACGCGCAGAGATATAAAACGGAGATAGTTTGATGGCACGTGAAGAGGCTCTATCACCACATTCTTATTTTGCTCTGTGTTTTTCAAGAACAGTCCTCTGGTCTCGTGGTCCAAAGGATTTTTGGGGCCCCCCTGCTGAGGCTGCAAGGGAGGGGGGCTGTGGGTGCGATCCCCCCACTGCCCGCTGGCAGAAAGAAGCACAGCAGCTGCATCCCGAGGTTGTAAATTTGGGAAGGAGAGAAGATGCAAAATGGGAAGCAGTACAGGGTGCGGGGTCCTTGCGCTCCTTCCCCCTTCCAACCTGACCAGCTCCATGCCTTTATAGCAAGAGCAGCACGGTATTACACCTGCACTGGAACAATACTCTCCAGTCAAGAGCGGTGACTCTTTGCCGGCACAGCTCTTCCGACGTCTGAACCTACGCCGATCACCAGCTTATTTATTTTACACGCACAGGCTGCCAAACAGATCCGGTGAGCTCCCTCTATAAGGGGTGGAGAGCGAGCGAGCGAGCGAGCAAGCGCACATCATTTTGGAGAGGGGAGAAGACGATGCATCCTTGTGACCGAGCACTGAGCAGAACCCGCCACAGAGATGGAGCAAGCCACCCGCCTCCAGCCACAAAGTCTGCCTGACCCGCAGCAACTTTCCACTCCAGAGCCCATCACCGCGCCTGTCGGCTGCCCTGCAGTCCTTCCGCCAGACACCAACATCTGTGCCAGCAGTTTGGAGCCGGGAGCAAGGAGGAGAGTGTGGCGACCACGCTCTGGAAGGACACTGCGGACCCTTGCTCTCCTCTTCCTCCATAAGCTTGGCAGAACTGCCTGTTCGCTGCAGGTCTGATATTCTACATCAGAGACCAAGTCAAAGATTCGTAATCACCTCCCACCATTCTTGCACAAAACCCAAGGTGGCTTACAGAATCCTCTCTTTATCCTCACAACAACCCTGTGAAGTGGACTGGGCGAAGCATCAGGGACTGCCCAAAGGCGACCAGTGAGCTTCATGGCCAAGCAGGGACAGAAGGGACAACCACATGTTGGGGATTGCCCAAGCGGAGCCGGCTGGAGCTGGGGGTCAGACTAGATGGCCCAGGAGGTCCCTCCTGACTAGTTTTGTTTCTATGAAGCCAGACCTTCCCCATCCTGGTCCCGCCTTCCAGCCACTGGCTCTTGCTGCTCGGGGGTCACTTACTAGGCCTCACTAAAGAGGCGGGGAGGAGATAGATAAAGCTGTTGTTCAGAGTCTAATCTAATACTTATTTGACTTCCGGTGCGACAAGCCCGAAGGCTCATGCAAAATATAAGTTATTCAGAAGAGGGATCATCTTATGCAAGCCCTCAAGCGTAAATGTTGCAGAAGCAGCACATCAATAAGTTATAAGGAAACAGATGTGCATGCAATTCCCCAGGCTCAGCACAGAAACCTGTCCGCCCTGCCCTCAGGTGCATTCGACTCCACAGCTAATAGAATGAACTTCAGAAAACAAGGGAGTAAAAGATCCCAGAAAAACTTCAGCAAGCCACCCAGCAGAGTAAATAAATAATCCCGTAACAATTTACACCTTCCAAGAACACAATCTTCTTCTAAACATTACAGTAACCCCTTAAGGTGAGCAAACTCTCTCCTAAGCACAGCACACAGCAGGCTGAGCTTACCTTACAAAGGAAAGCAAGAGCTCATGGCTGACTCAGGAGAGGAACGTGGGGCTTCCCGGGTTGGTTTCTTAACCACCGGTTCCAGCACAGCAAACAACCGAGCACCCAAGAGTCTTCTTGTCAAATACAAAGTGTAACAATATTTCTTGGAAATACTAATTCCCCTTCCCCTGGGTTTCATGCAAGAAGCAATGTTCAGAGCTGGCCGATGTTCGTGTGTGGGACATGGGGAAGGCCCTGGGTTTCGGGTGGAATTCCCCAGAAGACGGTGCAGGAGGAATGGGACATGCTACCTAACCTGCAGGGTCACCTCGGGTGGTGAAAACACACCTGTAAAAATGCAGTTGATGCACCCAAGCTAGTAATGTAATACCCGTGTAAGCATTTTTACACCGTGTAAACACTTGCGACTTCCCCTTCCTTTTTAAAATATGACCAGGGAATGTCACCCCATGCGTAACTCCAGGGGACACACCTCGTAATAAGATGTACCTCAATCGGGTGCACCTTATTATGGGACGTCCTCCCTTCAGTCCGTGGACCTACTTATTACCCCATGCCATGTCGATACCTGTGGAAAACCAGCCAGCAAAACATGCCTTGCAACCCTACGAGTTTCATATTGCACCTGCGTGTGCACAGACACTTCCTAATGTGTCGGCTAGGAACAAATTCAATCATTGTGCTCGATTTCCATCGAGAGAGGTCACTGCCCACGGGAAGAATCTGAGTATTTTCGGTTAGTGTGCAGTTCGGGTCAGCAGGAATAAATATTATAGCGCTGAGACAAGGCGCAGATGCGAAGAATTGACAAGAGGAGGGGGAAAGGCAACGCAGTAGGGGAAAGAGCGTTATGAGAAAAAGGGGGGGGGGGAGAACACACCTCCTGGTTATCCCTGCTCTCAAGGTGCAACTAAGGCGCCTTTCTTCTGTCACCCCCGAGGTTCTCTCCCTATATTATTCCAGCTCCCCAAACCGGGTTGAGAAACGGTTCCTTTGGAAGAGGAGGGAGTGCTTGCCCTCACCCATCACCCAGAGAGGCTGCTGACGGGGGCACATTAGCCAGTTCCTCTCCAGAGCTGGCTGTCACTCCTCCCGAGTCGCTCGCCCACCCGGTGCCCCACGCTGGGAAACTGGGATGCACGCAGAGCTGCCCCCTGCGCAGGCAAAGCAAGAATCCACCCGGGCCAGAACAGCCACTTGGGCAGCTTGGCTGGCTGTCCGAGGCCCCCTCCTGCCATGGCACCGAACCCCAGAACTTCCGTGCCCCCCAAGCCTGACCGCCATTCTCCCAAAGTGTGCGAACAAGCGTCTCGCCCTGTGACCCTTCCCGCTGGACGGGGGCTCGCTCAAACGTAGAAGCCCCCCACGCTTGACTGGGGTGAGCACAAACGGCGGTTTTGCTGGGCAGGATCGCACCAGGTTCCCCCCAAGATTTGGGGGGGGGGGGTGAGGAAGCGACCCTTCTTTCTCCCTGCCCTCTTTTGAAAGGGCGATTCCCTTCCCATGTATTTGGGACGCACACCCCCTTCCCACATAGGGTGCTGCCCCCGGCACTCCGATTCCACCTGCCGCTCTGCCAGTGCCTCTCGGCACCCTGGGGGGACCATGCCCTTCCTCCCCACACAGCATCTGGGGTGGGCTCCCTCACCCCCTCCGCTCCAACAGCCCCCCTCCTGCAGCTGGACGGAAGGGTCTCCTCTCTGCCCGTCTTCGACCCTCATTCACCCTTGGGGTGCCGGGGGAGGGGCTCTTCTTTCTCCTTGACCCCCCGCACACCTGCTTTGGGTTACAGATCCCCCTTCTTTCTCCGCCCCCCCCCATGCCTCCCGTCCCAGATCGCTGACGGGGTTGGGGGAGCTCCCCACGCTTCCTCCGCGTGTGCCTCCCACCCGCGAATCGAGGGGTGCCTCCCCCTCCCCCCATTTCTGGGGGGCCCCCTCGCCCCCCAGCTCCCCCGCAGGTGAGTCAAGCGGCGTGTCACCTCCTCCCGCGTCCTCGGGGGGAAGAAAAAGGGGGCGTCCCGCGGGGGCGCCACTCACTCCCCCCCACATCTGGTTGACTGGGGGGAGCCCGCGCCTCCGGGGCGGGGGTCCGCCTGTCCCCCCGGGCTTGGGTCCCCCCGCCCGCCCAGGCCCGGGGGCGCCCCACTCACCCCGCCTGTTCATGGGCCGGACCCGCACCGCCACCTTCACTTTGGAGTCCCCCATCGCGCCTGGTCGCGGCTCCGCGGGCGTCTGTCCTCGGCGGAGAGCGAAGGCGAGGGCGAGGGGGCGGAGCGCGGCCGGGGCGGGGGCCCGCGAGAACCCCTCCCACGAGGACTACACCTCCCGGCGTGCCCTGCGCGCGTGCGCGCGTTCTGGCCCTGCTCGGCCGCCGTAGGGGGCGCTGCCCCGTGGCCTGACGGGAAGTGGAGTCTACGCGGCGCCGGGGGACTCGCGCCGGTCAGCGACGAAGGGCGGCGCGGAGGCCGCTGGGAGCTGCAGTCCGGGCCCAGGGAGCGACTTCGGCGCCTGCGCGCCTTGGGCCCTGGGCGCAGTGCGTCCTGGGGACTGTAGTCTGGGTCACATTGTTTGCGGGCGTGGCGGGGCCGCTCCCCTTTTGTCGAGGCCCAAGCCCAGCTGCCAACCTGTGGAAGAGTCACGGTGAGAGAGACGTGTGTCTTCCTGCATGTAGAAAAGTAACCCCTTCCTTGACATGCTAGATTTCTCTATGCAGGGATGAACTGCTAGACAAAGAAATGTGGCCGCCCTTAAGGGTGTAATCCGCCCAAGATTGTATATGCACCATAAAAGAAGCATCGCTAAGCAGTAAAAATCCACCATAACCACAATTTTATTTTATTTCATTTTATTGGCCTGGAGTGGCATTCAGGTGTGTCTCTCACTGCCCCAAGGGTGAAAGCCTATAAAAGAGATTTATTGCCTCCACGGAGCTGAGGCAATGATTTCAGTGCTTCCCAGGCACCTGAAACTAAGGTGCGCACACACAACTCGTCTTTTATCTCTACGTGATCATAATTATTTCTCAATCTGTTTCCGTACATAGAGATCGACACATGCAAACAGAACACATGTTGCTGTCTGTTCTCTCTCTCTTTTTAACTGGTGGGGGTTAAAATGCATTTCCGCTTCTTTGATGACTTGTAAGCACCCACCCCGAGCACGTATGCAGATCGGTGCCCTCTCTTTTGGTGACCCGTGGTCCCTTTTTGGGCGAGGAATCCATGTCTACCTGAGCTCCGCTTGCCGAAGGAGCCAGGCTCAGCCCTTGGCGTTCCCGGTTTAAAAGCTCTGGGGGCCCCAGTGGAGAAAGAACCAGACGTGAAACCAGCAAAGACACACCGGCAAAGACACACGGCCTCTTTCGCTCCTCCTGCTCAGCGTTGCTTCCTTCTGGGGCGGAACAAGAAGCGGGCGAAGAAGCAGGTTGGGTGAGGAAGAGGAGGAGGAGGAGGAGGAGGATGAACTCCGGGGGGCTCCTGGGAAGTGCTGGCCTGACTCAGGACTGAGAGCATCTGCCCACCCACAGCAGGTGGTGCCGCAGGAGACGGTCCAGCTCAGGGTGAAGTCTCGTTCCCTGAATGGGCATCTAAATCCAGGCGACGTCACTTCTCGACGTCTGCGGTTCCCTACCTGCTGATTTTGCGCATCCGCAGGTCCTTTTGTCGGACGAGGTGCCGCAGAACTCCCTTCTCCCAGCAGATGCTGGAAAGTCGGCTCAGGAATCACCGCCGGCCTGTTCTGGGCACAGCCCTTTGCTCCGTATTTACACCAGGCCCTCACCCTGTCCGGCTTCGCAAATTTCACCCAGTGCAGCTCACTCCACCCAAGGCTTTCTCTAACTTTTGTAAGTGGGCAGCCAAGCCATGGGATTCCCTTCCGCAAGAAGTAGTGCTGGGGCCTGCTTTGGATGGCTTTCAAAGGGGGTTGCAGAAGTTCAAGGAGGAGGCAGCTATCCAAGGTTACTAGTCCTCATGACTGTATGCATGACTGCATGCTCCAGCCTCGGTATTCCCATTGCTAGGAAACCTGGGCGGAAGCGTGTGTGGCACCCAAGCCCCACGTATATCTTCCCTGTTGGAAGCTGGCTGACCTCTGTAAACAACTTGCTGGAATAGATGGACCTTCGGCCTGATCCGGCCTCAGGGGTCTTTTTAGGTTCTTGTCTTATGGGCTGGAAACTTGCCCTTTGCAGAAGAACAAAAAAATGAGATTTTCAGGATGTTGAATTTTTTGGTGGGATCAACACAGTGACACAGATCAGTCACCTCACTGGCTGACATAAATCATACGCCTTCCTTTCCTAACCCTGAGTGGAAAAATTGCCGTATTTTGCTGACGAATGGAAGCGTGGAAGGAAGGGACGGAACAATGGGACAGATGATGGTCTAATTTCCAGCTGCTTACCTGGGCTTGGCCTGAGAAGGAGGTGTTTGTGCGAGGGTGCAGCCCTGAATCACGCACTTAGTAATGAAGGCAGGGTTGCCCTGCTGAATCAGCGTGTGCAACCCAGGGAGCCCAACAGCCCTGCAGTGTAGCTCAGGGCTCTTATCCCGCTTTTTGGTGTGTTCTGTGTCTCTCCGGGAAATACAGATGTCAGTTTGTTATGGCAGGAGTTAGCTCTCTTACCTGCGGGAGAAAATTTAGGAGAAGTCAGGTCAGTGAGTGGGTTGTTCCTACTGGAATGAACAGTCAAATGGTATATTCATGTAATAGCCTCGAATCCTTTTTCTTAAAAAAATTATTTAATTTCTATACCGCTCAACAGCCGAAGCTTTCATGGCAGTTCACAACAGCATAATTCTTTAACCTGGGCTGGTAACCTTGCTATAATGATTCAGGTATATAGATATGTGTTATTTCCATGTGTTAAATGTTATTTTATCTTTTGTATTATTGTTTTATTTTATTTATATTGGTAATTTTATTGTAACGGTCACCCAGAGAGCATGGGAAGCTTTTAAACAAATTTAATAAATAAATGCATAACTCCTACAGATATTCTTAGCCTATGCTGCTTTCTTCTGAACAATTTAGGATACAATCCAATGTATGTTTAAAGGGAAATAAAGTCTCAGCTGAGAGTTGTAGATTTTCTCCACTCAAAAGTGCACAGGTCAGCGTCACTGATGTTGAATATATCCAATCTTTTTGGTAGTCTTGCATTCAGATCAAAGGATTAGGTCCAAGTAACTCTGTTTAAGATCTGGGAAGACTGCGAGGGTCGTTTCCTGAGATTTTAGGATCCCCAAAGGAAGGGTGTGGCGCCACCTGGTGGAGAAAGGAGAAGATGCTCCCGCTTCCAATAAAAGTGGGACCTTTTGCTTTTGTTAGTAAGGACGCTTCTTTGGATAAATCGTTTTCCACTGCATTAGATCAAAAGAAAGAGGGAGCCTCTACTGGATATAAAGTTATCAAACCATTTTACTTGAATGAATTCCGTAAAAATCGTAAGCATGCATTTGTAACTAATTACCAGAAATAAACATGAGGTGGATAAGAGACATAGGAGAACATCTTTCCGTTTTGCTCTCCAAAATAAAAAAAGGTCGCATTATTTATTTTATTTTATTTATTTAAAACTTTTCTAGACTGACCCATTACCAAAGTCTCGGGACGGTTTGATGATACAAAATGTAAAAAAAATAAAGACACAGCATCCTAAAAATGTGACTAATAATAAAATCCCAATTAAAACAGTCAGGTCTTAAAACATTGGGATTGGGGCACCAATCTATGCAAGTCTAGACAAAAAAGATCCTACAACAACTTCCAGCATGAAAAAGGCCTACAACTCCCAGCATGCCTCAGGCAGCAGAGCTGTTCATGGATTCTTGATCATCCAGGGATCCATCCAAGCTTCCTAAGTCCACTTTTTTGTATTCAGCTGCCCCACTTAAAATCTAAGGCACTTAAAACAGTTTGACTTCATTTTGTGCTCTTTGCATAAATATATAAACTGCTTTACAACCTCCATCTCTGTGACCCACCCAGAGAAACATAGAAACAGAGCGAGTCAGAAGAGTCCTCCTGGGCCATCTAGTCTGACCCCCGGCTCTGCTCACGACATGCCCACCATGCGCATGTCCAGCCTATCCTTGAACACCCGCACTGATGGGGCCTCAACCACCTCCCGGGGAAGCCCATTCCACACCCTCGGGGTCCCGACTGTCAGGAAATGCTGAGGAGCGTCTTTGAATGGGGCTAGGTTTTCACGACCCTCTCGACGAGCACAAGTAGAGTGTGAACACACACTGGGCACTCAAGCACACATTCCTCGTGTGCGACGTGATCCTTCATGCCTTTTCCCCACCACGCAAAGCAACGGGGGGATTGGGGCCCCCACGCTACTTGTCTGCCTTTTCTTCAACTCACACAGGTAAGGGAAGATCCAGGATCAGGCGCCGCATGCAACATTTCTGTTCTCCAAAAGTTGCTGCGAGGCCACCTCTGTTCACCAGTGGTACATTCATTCATTCATTCATTCATTCCAGCCCACCCGTCTCTCTCCCATTGCAAACTGTTCAGCAGGAATCTGAATACTGATAATTTTAATTTTATATTATTATGTTTATAATGCAATGTATTTTTTGTATTTTTGTATTTAATGGTAATTTATTATGTTCTATTGTATTTCAATGTATTTTATTGTGTTGTAAGCTGCCCCGAGGGTTCGGTAAGGGGCGGCATAGAAATGTTATAATCATCATCATCATCATCTTCATCAGGTTCTGAAGAGGAGGAGGAGGAACGGGATGGGGAGAGCCTTGAAGCCCCTTCAGCTCTGCCTCGTGAGGTTTCTCAGGCCAAGCAGTTGAGTCAGGCTGTTTGGAAGGAGTGGAAGAGTTTCCTGGGATGGAAGAGCGGGTGCGAGACCTTGTCCTTGGGCCCGTGGGGGGGGGCACAGGTGGAGGAGCCTTCCCTTCCACGCCCTCTTGCTCTCCAGCGGAAAAAGCCATGCGGAGGGTTAAGCCAGAAGTTTTCAGCTTGGAGTCAGCTCTGCACATGCGCAGAAGCATCTCTTCAGCTTTGGTAGAAGGCTATTTGGAGCTCTAGCTCATCTGTGGGTATCTCCAAAAACTGCCTTTTTAAAGGATCGTTTTGAGTTTTGGAAGCAGCTCACAACCCCACCCAGACTTGCTGAGGATCAAATTAATGCAACATGTAGGTCATTTCTGACACCCCCCCTTTTTTTTTACTCAGAAGGAACTATATAGGATATGATATGGATCAGGACCTGGGCTGTGCTTAGCCCCTTT